GTCATTCGTTCTAAGTTACATAGAAAAAAATCTAGTTTAATATAAAATTCAATGATAAAAATCTTGGAGTCATATCAAAGCTTATTATAAATCAAGAACCTACATACATCTCAAGCTGGAACACATAATACTCTCTTCAAGAGGTAGAAATTCAACGTAAATCTTTTCATTGTGGAAGTTGTTTAAAAATAGTAATATAAGATCGCTATCGAAACGAGTAACAGAGAAGCTATGTACGTCCCACAAGAATTTTAGGTTAAACGTAATGACAATAAAAACAAAATAGCAAGAAACGGAGGACAACAACCCTGGCAGCCGCAGCCGCAAGATGTCGTGTCGTGCGGTCGCATTACAGATGCGATGCGATATCGCCACGCCACCGCACTTATGTAGCAAGCACTCACTGACTGGAGCCGCGCGCCACCGCAGCGCCGCGCCGCGCAAAACGTCTCACGGCAACACGTAGGGTTGCCACCAGCACTTTAATTTTCATAACAGCCTTTAACTGTCTATTGGTGAACATAAGCCTCCCGAGGGGAAAGGGATTTTATTTATTAGTACAAATATGTGTACATGGCGGTCTTAATGCTAAGAGCATTCTCTCTCAATCAATCATAGGGACTTTTTTTTTATACAATTTAAAATGGCAAACAAGCTGACGGCCCACCTGATGGAAAGTGGTAACCGTCGCCTATAGACATGAGCAGTACCATGTATATAACAGAGTATACTGTTTCGCCCATGATACCCCCCATGCGTTGCCATTCCTGAGGACTCAGGTGGTTTTTCTCTGTACCCTGTAAATTCACGCCATATCCCACCCTTCAAACCGAAACACAGCCATGCAAACACAACTGCTTCACTGTAGAAACACGAATGGGACAGAGATACCCAAGCAATCGACTTTTGTACAAAGTCTCCCTCTGGTAAAATGCTGGGTCTAACTGACCCATCGCTAACAATACACCTTATCGGTTCGACCTCCACGCAGTTCCAACGCACCACAATGGTTTCCAGGATGAATATATTAAAAAAAGACCTCATATGAATTTTATTTCCTTCGTGTTTATATTTATTATAATTATTCACTTTAATTAACAGGTATTTGTTATATTTATTATTATGTTATATTTATTGTTATTTTATTATTATTTGTGTTTATGTTTTGATCATGCTGTGTACACATATTTTTGGAGGGTTAGCTTGAACGAAACATTATTGTACTGTATAAATTTATGTAACCATGTTAATTCTTTGTAATGTGTACCTATTGAAATAAAAAATAAATAAAAAAAATATTAAAAAATTCTGTTAAATGAAAAATAAATAAAAAAATTGAGAAGATTATTGTATACTTAAGTAGTACTTAACTTACTTAAGAAATATAATTACATTGTGTAACCTAATTCAAAGTGCTTATTAGAAGCTTTGTTAATGAGCTGATGTTAATTCTCTGAATACTTTATAAAAAAACATTTATATTAGAACAATAAAAATAATGGCAATTACTATAAATTCATATAAAAGATGAAAAGGTCTATAGAATTTTCATCACCATAAACTGTATTTATACATTTTAAAACACGATGTTATTGGAACTAATTTAAATTGTCTTCAACTGAGTAAAGGACAAATCTCTGACAGCCCTAGTCCGTTGAGACGCCCCCACATCACGGCACGCCGCTGCCAGCCCACTGTCAACATAACCGTAATGATAAACATCAATTTATGATCACAGATATCATTGTTTTGCATACGAGTATCGTTCTATACCTATTGTTCTGGGCGACGTTTAAAGTGGAAATTGCTAAATTGTACACTAGAAATCCACTCTTATCCAAGTGGGATCTGTCCAATGTAATCACATTAGACAGATTGACTCACTGTAACTAAATACTGTATTTTATTACAGCACACAATCTTAGTTTACTAATATAATAAAATACAGTACAGTACAGTACAGTACAGTACAGTAAGTGGTGTATAGTTTTTACCCTCGAGCATTATATAGTTTTCTTTCAACTTTTCAAAAATTGACTGTAAAAGACTCCTCTGCGGGATAAGTTTATTCTCAATTAACATGAGAGGTTTTATTAAGACCAATAGAAGCCAAGGTAATAATTTTTAGAAATATTGTCTGTCTCTCTGTCTCTGTCTGTATGTTTATTTCCAGCATCACGCAAGAACTGCGATACTAAATTGAATATGACTATGGAGGGCGAGGGATGGACAGCAACGTCCCTCTTAAAACATCTCCAAAGCCTAATTGCGGTTGCCAATCCGTCTGCTAAGCGTGGCAACTACTGGCAAAACCCCCCCCAAGGGGAAGGCTTATATATAAATACATTAATATGCTTACATCTGAAATTCCTATTAAGTTAAAGAGTTTATATGTATTTTAATTTGTTTATTCATAAATAATTTAAAATAGAACCAACGTAGTTTGCGTAGGAAATGGATATCAAAAGTTTTTACTTGTTTTAAATACACTATCAGGGCTTAATGTGATGACAATTTTTGTAGAGAAAAAGTAACTACATACTTGATTTTTATTCACGACGTTAAAACCAAATTAAGTATTTTACTTGTGTTTGGTATCTTTTCTTCTTACTTAGAGCTTTATAAATGGCACAAGTGTGTTTGCAATCTTTCAATAGCGCATATTTAATAATTACAACGCCATCTATCGGATATTTTTTACACTAATTTTTTTTTATATGGATGATAATGGAATGGTAACCCCACCCGCGCTATCGGTATACACCGGCGGGGCACCAGACAAGAATGATAGGTGAGGATGAAGTAGGTCAATTAGCCCATCGTGACGAAGTCAACAAGAATTGTTCACGATGGTTTCCAGGGGGAACCACGTGGATGTCGACCTAATAAAGTATATTGCTAGCAATGGGGCTGTCAACCTCCATTGCTAACAATCCTTTTCCCCCTGACTCTAAATTATTAGTATCCTTTTATATATCAATACAATAGATCGATCGTAAGATCTCATTGCCATTATAACTCACATGGCCCTATGTACTGGTATTAGATAACATCGTGACATTGGTGTTGATTATCAAAGCTCCGGCCGGAACTGACATTCAAAATGTATTGAGGTTCTTCACCTTGGTTGATGTTGCAAAAATATTGACAATAAGATACGGCGGCTGTCGAGTAACGCTGTTGAGAGCATTTATGTCGAAGGCAACCTCGCAATTGCCTGTCAATTTTCAAAGATAATTAACATTTCATTAAACACGCTCGTGTTGTTGCCGTGGACATGATGGCTCTATCGGTGGGTGGGTGGGATATAGCTGGTAATGAAATGTATGCCTTTATTTGTAAAATTTAAAACTTTCTAGAAACCTGTTTTAAACTATTACATTGTTTTATCACTTTCTTCCGAATTGGGAATTTAGCACACAAGAAAGGGACAAACAGTTCTATAACTAAAATAGGTTTGTGGGAGGTTTGACGTTTATTGTAGCAACCAGAGGGAGACTTTGTACAAAAGTCGATTGCTTGGGTACCTCTGTCCTATTCGTGTTTCAACCGTGAAGCAGTCGTGTTTGCATGGCTGTGTTTCGGTTTGAACCATTAGTTACTATTCTTGTCAATTCATAGCAGGCTAGTGTATAGAAAATGTTTGATATGTCAATTATTTGTCAATGACAAATCTTACATTACTAGATTATATATTCGACACAGTTTGTGTAGAAAGTATGCAAGCAGGTTGTATCTAAATTTGGTAGGGTTATACGGCCGTATAACATTTTCTATAATACTAGCCTGCTATGAATTGACAATTTTATCACTCCCATGTAATTCCTTGTTCTTAGCGCATGACGCGTGTTGTGTGCCACACATGACGTCATCCCTTTCTGTGTTTGGTCTTCCGAGTTACTTCCGAGTTTACTAATATTTCTGGTCATGATTAAATATGTATGAGTGTGTATGTTTTGTTATTGCCAGTTTCGGTGCTGTTGATGAATTTAAACTCTGCACAAATAGGTGTGGATGTATTATTTGTCCATGAGGAAACGGAAGGCTCTCAGTTATGGCAATAGGGCGGCGCTTTTTGTAATAAAAAATATTTAAATATTTATTTAAACGTATCACTGTGAATTGAATTTCTTTTTTTTTATTTATCTCCTTATAATTATTGCGCTACATTTAATTACCTACAAATTAAATTTTCATCACCTGTTTGAAATATTAATCAGGTACGACAATACGATATTGCATTTTTGAGAAACCTCAAAAAGGAGTAATTTTTTGTGTGTGTTACTCGATGATGAACATATCAATGCTGGACTGTTTTGGTTTTTTTTTACAACACAGGGGGCAAACGAGCATGCGTCTCACCTGATGGTAACTGACTACCACCGCCCATGATCACTAACGGCATTGCAGGTGTGCTGCCGACCTTTTAAAAAGGAATATGCTCTTTTCTTGAAGGTTACGATGTCGTATCGGTTTGGAAATATATACTTATATATTTATTAAAGTTTTATGATTACAGCTACCGTTTTTCTTAACGAACCAAAATCTACTTGTAAACACAAGAGTTTGCGTTCAAAATTCAAATATCTCACTAATTGTCTTAGTAATATAATAAAATTATAACCAAACGATATATAAATATACATAGGAGATATTTAATTAAAAACATAATAATATATTAGTAAGAACAATAGTTGCTAGAACAGTATTTTTTAGTTATTTTTTTATTTGTTTGCCATTCTAAGTTGTATAAAAAAAAATCCAGACACGATCAACTTAAAGTGAAGTTGTTCTTTTATATAATATTTTAGCATTCAATGTTACGATGGAAATTTCCACCATTATGCAAAGAAGCGTTAAACGGATTGAAATTGCAATGTACTTAAATAACAATTGTAAATATTATAGATAATTCATCATCAAGTAACATTGAACTATAAAAAAATTATCCTAACAAAACAGGTTTACTTACTTCAATCACAACAACTATAACAATTGTATAGAAATTGATCAATTACAATCACTTTATATGGTCTCGTTATGGGAGTTGAATGCGGCATACAGCTGATGAAGGTTCATATGATAACAATGTGCTCGTCACCGTGCCTCTTCTGGTTGTTACTTGGTTTAATCTTGCCGGTCGCACTTGGAGAACCCATTGTAAGTACATAGATAGATAACTTATTAATACCTAAAACTTAACAAATAAACATCTGAGATAACTACCAGTGGAGACTATACAAAAGTCTTCTGTTTGGGTACCTTTGTCCCATTTGTGTTTCTGCTGTCAAGTAGATGTGTTTCGGTTTGAGGGATAGGATTTAGTAATTAAATTACCAGGTACAGAGTCATAACACCTTAGTTTACAGAAATGGCAAAACATGTAGAATATCATGGGCGAAACAGTATACTTTGTTATGTCCATGGTACTGCTCATGTATATAGACGACGGTTACCACTTTCCATCAGGTGGGTCGTCAGCTTGTTTGCCATTTTAAGTTGTATAAAAAAAATATACAAAATGTTATACATAGCAAAATATGTAGATGTGTAATATGCGAAAGGTATTTGAGAGTCAGAGCTTCAAATTACCAACACAAGATCAGGAAGTCTTGAAAAACACCCCAAATATTTATTTATTTCTTATTGCATTCCATAATGTGATTAGTAGATAACATTTCAACTTCAACTATGAACCCTGTTGGGCACAGCAAGTACCAGAGAGGAGGACAACACTTGTTTTAGAAATAGTTTCAAAATTTGTTACAATATTATCAAGTTAGAATCAAAGTCGGTTGGCTCGTTTAATAATATCTCCTCTTATATAGAAGTCCAACTATGTCTAGCAGTAGTAAAGCTTATTATGATGAAAAAATTCTGTTACCAATTACTATAATTTTAATTTTTTTTTTGTGTCTGACATCAGTACCGCGATGGTGAGTACCGGCCCCTGGCCGCTGTGTCGGAGTTGACCTCGCGACTTGCGACTCATACCCAGCACCTACAGCCGCTGCAGGAGCCCCGGCTGCCGCTGCCGACGCCTCCCGACTTGGAGACCATAAAGAAGGTTGCGCAGATACTGGTCATGCTAGGAGAACAGGTAAGCAAGGCAATTGAATAGTTGACGAATGAGTTTTAATTTTTAATAAACTAGTGACATTCTTTTATAATAGATAACCGAGTATAAATCTTTTTAAGTTAATATTAAAACTTTAAACTTTCATGTTTTATTTATAATGTGTGCAGTCGAGTCTCGATTCGTCTGTATTTTTGTAAGACTGTGCACAATATCTACCGATTTTTATTGAAATCCATCTGGTAGTTTTAACGAACTGTGTTGTTGTTCGTATCGGTTGCAATTTGGTATATCTTCAATGCCATTTATGGTTTTTGATAAAAACAAATTATGCTACTTACAATGGCAAACTAGCTAATGGCCCACCTGATGGAAAGTGGTAACCGTCGCCTATGAACATGAGCAGTACCATGGACATAAAGTATACTGCTTCACCCCACGCGTTGCCATTCCTGAGGATTCAGGTGTTATTCCTCTGTACCCTGTAAATTCACTTCCATATCCAACCCTTCAAATCGAAACACAGCCATGCAAACACACCTGCTTCACGGTAGATACACGAATGGGACAAAGGTGCCCAAGCAAAGGAATTTTGTACAAAGTCTCCCTCTGAAATACATAAATACGTAGTTGTATTTTTAAAGTCAAACAGTTGTGCTTGCACGCCTGTCTTTCAGTTTTAATTGTAGAAAAAAGCAGTAAAATTACAAGATGTAAAAGCATATTAATTTAATTCACTGGAATGACAAAATTTGAGATGCACTATATGATTTGCAATACATTCCGTAATGCTATCATTTTCTATTCAGTGAATCTATTATAGTGATCTAGTACTCTTCATAGAAATCTCTAAAGTTTTCGAGTTTTTCCATTAATAAACAATACATTAATAAACAAACATTAGAGGAAGAAAATCAAATATTTCCTCTTTATAATATTAGTATATGTTGTCACCTCTATGGTAAACTTACGAAACTGAAAAAGATACATTTCACAGGGGAAACGTTTTGAAACATTAGAATGCAAATAACTTTTGACAGAAGACTACTGTAAAAGATCGTGCTAACATTTTAGTTTTAAAATTCTGTTTTTTATTGAATGCGCTAAATTAATTATTATTATATTACAAGTATCAAAAATAAATGCATATTCGTTATTTGCACCTTCATACATGAGAGTTCCTAAGTATTGAGTTATACGACAGCAAATCTACGAAAGTGGCAGTTTCGTAAGTTGCCAAAGAAAACCATTTACTTTAATATTTGACAAACTAACGAAAGTGCCACTTTCGTAAATATACCAAGGTATAAATCATGTATTTTGGAGAGAACTTCAGTTTAAATAACAACGTTATAGCAATCATTCATGTAAAATAACTAAATTAGGATTGAAAAATTGATAAAATAATTATTGAAATTTTCAAATTAAAGTATTTATTATAGAAAATACTATAAATATATGTTAAGTAAGTTTACTTTGGGTATATCACAAAAATATGGAGATTCGAGCTACTCGATTTCTTTGACCGTTAGAGATAGAAATTTGAAAATAAGCCACAATAAGTAGTATGACGCAAAATGTAGGTTTTTAAGAAATGTCAAATTTGAAAAAACTGCAGATTCGTAAATTTGCCATAGAGGTGACTATGTAGATTACAGGTTTATAATTCATGCCAGTGAAGCACCAAACCAACAATCTTATAATATTACTATTAGCAACATCAAGTGTAAATTAAAACAATACTTTTTGCATGATTTTAATACTAGTTAAAACAGATTTTATGTATTTAGCATTGATATAAACCTACGTGGTTTCTGAATGCTGATGTAACATACTTTCTGTAATTCTGTATTTTTGTGATAATATATATATATATATTACAAACATACTGGTTTTGCGCATTTACCTACAATTATGGTCTGAATTTCATCAGGTGATACCAGCAGTGATCGGTGAGAAGCCTCCGTCCAATAACAGCGAAATAACTGAAGATCCAGTTAACGAGAACTCTTAGTGCTCCATCTCCAACCAGACTAACGATGCTATGAATTACATCACAACAATATTGACCTTGTCTCATTTCTCCTATGAAGACGGTATACTAGATTAAATCAGAGTATTTTTTTTAATGGGTGAAAATTTATTGTGTATAATAATTGGGAAAGGGATTGTTAGTAACGGAGACTGAGAATCCCATTGCTAGCAATATACCCAACCAGGTCGACCTCCTGGCGTTTCCCCCTGGAAACTATCATGGTTAATTCCTGATGAATTCATCATGATGGGCTAACTGGTCTGTTTTCATTCTCATCTATCACCCTTCACTGGTACTCCGCCAACATATCCCGTTAGCGCAGGCGGGGTTACCATACCATTTTCACTCATCAAAAAAAAACCCACCCGCGCTATGAGTATACACCGGCGGGGCACCAGTGAAAGTGATAGGTGAGGATGAAGTAGGTCAGTTAGTCCATCGTGACGAATTCAACAAGAATTGTTCACGATGGTTTCCAGGGAGAAGCACGTAGAGGTCGACCTAATAGAGCATATTGCTAGCAATAAAGCTATGAAACTCCATTGCTAACAATCCCTTTCCCCCAATCAAAGTCATTAATAGTTTTTTAAAGAAGTTTTCTACTTGTAATCCTGAACACTATCCCCAAAGATGCGGGGGAAGGGTTTATTAGTAATGAGGAGGTTAGTTTCCATTGCCATCAATATACCCAATCAGGTCGACCTCCACGCGGTTCCTCCTGAAAACTATTGCGACTAATTTATCGTTAAATTCGTTAAGATGGGCTAACTGGCCTGCTTTCTCATAGTTACTTATCATCCCTCACTGGTGCCCCGCCAGTGTATACGGATAGCGCAGGTAACCATTCCATTATCATCCATTAAAAAAATCCCCAAAGATGCAAGATCGAAAATGACAAAATAATATGACTTAACGCTCTGTAATACTATGGGAGGCTCGAAATGTTTTATTGTTTTTTTAACTTCTGTTTCTCTGGGTATAATCTAGTTCAAATTGATTGATAGAATGACCCACAAAATTTTTTTTCTTTTTTTTTATACTACTTAGAATGGCAAACAAGCTGACGGCTCACCTGATGGAAAGTGGTAATTGTCGCCTATAGACATGAGCAGTACCATGGACATAACAGAGTATACTGTTTCGCCCATGATACCCCCAGTGCGTTGCCATGCCTGAGGACTCAGGTGTTATTCCTCTGAACCCAGTAAATTCACGCCATATCCCACCCTTCAAACCGAAACACAGCCATATAAACACAACTGCTTCACGGTAGAAACACGAATGGGACAGAGGTACACAAGCAATCGACTTTTGTACAAAGTCTCCCTCTGGTATGATCTCGATTCTAAACAAAGTCTGTTTCGAGTATTTCAAGATATTCACTGACATTGGCAAAATTTAATTAATTTATATTCAGTCGATACTTACCAAATATTCTGTGGCATGATACTGTTATATTAAAAAAACGAAGCTTATAATAAGTACTATTATAATTTCATAATATTAGGATAATTCTGATTATGATTTCAAATGCAGTCTATCTGCAATGGATTATAATGAAAAGGTAGCCAAATTTTGTTAAAATTATCACAGAAACATTATCTTTTTTTTTTTACAACACAGGGGGCAAACGAGCATGCGGCTCACCTGGTGGTAAGTGACTACCGCCGCCCATGATCACCCACAACACTAACGGCATTTCCAGGTGTGCTGCCAGCCTTTTAAAAAGGAATATGCTCTTTTCTTGAAGGTTATGTTGTCGTATCGGTTCAAAAATACTGCTGCTGGAAGTTAATTCCAAAGAGTGGTTGTGCGTGGAAGAAAGTGCCTTATCTAAATTAAATTAGCAATAAATCATAACATCTTATCGATTAATCGATTTTTAAGTTTTATTAACAGACTATAATTTGCACTTCGCATTTACATGGACTATAAACATGCCAGTATCACTATCTCTGATCTCAATCTTACAAAAAAATATAATTTATTTTCATTTAGCCAAAGAAAATGTTAAGTAAACGAAGCAAGCGTAGAATTCTAATGCAAGCAAGAATTCGGTGTGTCCAAACAAAGGCCATATCAAGTGTCAATTTGAAAATGCCAACAAAGGATTACCGGCCAACACTGCCGTGAATAAAAAGTGGCGTATTAAGCATGTGGTAGTATAACTTACGACACATTTCAATCGATTATTTAGATATTTAAAGTATGTAACCCAAACGACTTGAAGGTCAACTTGGTCTTATTTACATATTAGAAAATCGTAAAGTTACATATACACGTAAACTGTACGAGTACATTAAATATTTTTAGAAATGTTTTTTTTTTATGAATGAAAATGGTATGGTAACCCCGTCTGCGCTAACGGGATACGCTGGCGGAGCACCAGTGAAGGGTGATAGATGACAATGAAAACAGGCCAGTTAGCCCATCATGATGAATTCATCAGGAATTAACCATGATAGTATCCAGGTAGAACCGCGAGGAGGTCGACCTGGTTGGGTATATTGCTAGCAATGGGATTCTCAGTCTCCATTACTAACAATCCCTTTCCCCCCCTTTTAGAAATGGTGTTTCTCGATATTTAGTGATACTAAATCGAAAATTTTTTTTTGGACTTTTTTTCTCTATTTTTGATTGAATGAATGAAAACTCTTTAGTTCCTTCCAAAGAATGATACAAAGAATTCGAAAGAATGGTGAAAGATTCACAATATGTACACACAAAAAAATTTACCTTCATCACAAAAACTTAATTACATAAAGGCAAGATAAGCAGGAAACATAGACGACGTTTTTGTGTTTAAAAATAATTTTTTACACAATCAAAATGTTTAAAAATTACACTTCAAAAGAGTTACCGCCTTATTCATAAAAATTAAAACTTCATACAAACCTTTTTAACTATACAGTATTTTGTTACTGTCTTTCAAATTGAGAAACTAGCATGAAAAAAAGGACAAAATACTTAAATAGCTAAAGTAGATTTCACGTTTTATGAATGAGGGGTATAAACTATTATTGTTTCAAAACTATCTATTGTCAATAAGAGATTAATGCTAATTTACAATAGATGGCGTAAAAAGTACATTTGATAAAATGCTGTACAAATAAAGCCGCAGCTATAGTAAGCAACCTATTGAAATACGTATAAATAGGTAATATGTATATATCCTACAAACCGGGGGGAAAGGGATTGATAGTAATGGGGTCAAATAGCCTTATTACTAGCAATATACCCTGTCAGGTCGACCTCCACGTGGTTCGCCCTGGAAACCATCGTGACTAATTCTAGTTTAATTCGTCAGGATGGGCTAACTGACTTACTTTCATCTTCATCTGTCATCCCTCACTGGTAGCCCGCCAGTGTATACCAATAGCGCAGACGGGGTTACCATACCATTATCACCCATTAAAAAAAATATATATAGTAGAGATTTATATTTTATTTATCAGTATTCTGATCAAGACGGCGTAATAATTTGGTGTACTGCCTCGTACAATGAACCTGTATCGAGAGCTCAATAATCTATGATGTACGGAGTTAATTTAAGAGATTAAATGAGGATTTTTAGATCGTCGAACATAATTATCGTTCAATAGCTATTTTTAATATCTAATGCACTATTCAATCTTAAAATTGAGTTAAGATATTATTTCTATATGGCATAAAAGTAATGTGTTATTAATTTAAATTGTAGAATTCTCAAAGAAATTTTGTATCTTTAAATATATATATATATTTAAATTTTTTAATGTTATATTGGATTAAGTAATATTTTGTTATTATTTCTTGTAAATAAATGTTCTTAAAATAATATATAATAAAATTGTAGATTAAAATAAGTGGTTGAACGAAAACAAGTTCTGTTCCTAGGTTAAAATTTATCTGACACAAGAAAAAAGACAATTAGTTCTTAAGAGTAGCCATGGATATGAAGGATGCCATGGGTGTCACAGTGCATACTTAATTTTTTTTTTTATTTGTAATAACATATGTTTCTGAAAGGCCATAAGAAGTCCTTATCCTACGACTTTGTCCGTTCATTCGTCCGTCTGTCGCAATCATATATTTCAGCGTCTACTAATTCTATCGACTTGCAAATTTAGAATATTTGTAGATATTATTGTTGACGTATATTATAGTATTATGTTGTCTGTATTACAGATAACCCACTGAAAAAAAAACTTTTACTTTGCTAGAAGGTTCAAAAAGGTACTCAAAATGTTATTGCCTTATATTCCAAGTCAAATATTATACGAAAAATAAGGTTTTATTTGCACATTCTGTTTGTTTCTTTATTTTATTATAAGAAATCTAAAAATCCATGATCAATTGAAAAATCTATCGTTGAAGTTATGATCGAGTGGCGCCATCTATTATCGTATAAACATAACATAAGTAATATAATTATCACAGTATCTTATTCAATAGCAACAGTAAATTTATTATATACCTTTATGGGTAGATGGCGCCGAGAGTCCAAAAGATGGGTTGTATTCTGGTAAGTGATGAAAGCGAAAAATTTGAACTATATATATATATATATGACAGAGGCGATCATTCCCATCTGATGATAAGGTCTAAGTATGGAAATTTGCACACCTTTGCGCATGAAGATCCTCAATTACAATACCTAACAATTTAACTGTCATTTTACCATTCAAACTAGAATACTGCAGCTAACATGCTGATTGGGGAGGGGGGGAAGGGATGGTTAGTGATGGAGACTGAGAATCCCATTGCTAGCAATATACCCAACCAGGACGACCTCCTCGTGGTTCCCCCTGGAAACTATCATGGTTAATTCCTGATGAATTCATCATGATGGGCTAACTGGCCTGTTTTCATTCTCATCTATCACCCTTCACTGGTGCTCCACCAGCGTAGCCCGTTAACGCAGGCGGGGTACCATACCATTTTAACACATTAAGAAAAAAACATGCTGATTGGTGGCAGAATATACCTACCTAGTCAGGTTAAGTGAGATAACTATGTTTTGCTGGTAAATAAGTATGTTTACGTATTTTCTATTGCTACATCTAGTTTAGTATTATATTATCTGTGCATACATACAGCGATGAAATGAATGGATCACATGCTTTAATTATGGGTAAGGTTGCTAAAACAAAAAGTCAATACTAACGATGGTAACTTATTTATTATATTTTGGTATCTTAGTAAATATTTGTTGAGAAATACATAAATAAAGTATGTGTGTATCTATTTGTAATTGTTTTTTCTTATTTGTACCGATATTCACAAAAATGTATTTAATGCATTTATTATACAAATTTCTTGTTTTAATTAATTTACTATTAAAGAAAAAACATTCTGTCACAGAATAAAACAAAATGAAGTCTGCAATTAATTCTGCAAAAAGTAAGTCTCCAAGGTACTAGAATGACGTCATAGATCATGATCCCAGAATGATTTAAAACACTAGTAGTCATTATAAGGTAAACGGACGTACCTAAAATTACCATAAAGTGTTCATGCCATCTAAATTACTGTTCTTTTTATTTCTATTATAATACATTAACTATGTGTTTGTTACAGTAGATACAGATATATATTAAGACTTCATTTTATATAGTACAATTTATATAACACAAATAAACAAATATGAAATGTGGAAATATGTTTAATATCTACTTTTATATATTTATACATAGAAATTTTATTTTTTGTATCTATAAATAGTATTTTAAAATACTATTAGAATCATTCATACCCTCATTTCATACCAGCCACCTTAACTAAACACACCTTTGGTGTAGAATGTAACAACAATAAATAAATAGCCCAAAACACTTCCCTACATCCACATAAAATTAGTGAAAAGCCGTACATTGGTATGCGATAAAACTAACTTATGTCTATTTCTAAAAATAACAAATGACACGATTCGATAGATCCGATCTGTTATATTTCACTACAAAAGAATCTGTCTATTCACGTACAGATACATTCATAAATGACGTGAGCTTATATTTTCTTTAATTTGATACTCTTGATGAGATATCCATATATTTTATGAAAGGCGAAGATAAATGTAATGATAAATTACAGTTCCAGAGAGTGTCACGTGTGTTTTTATTGGATTATTTTAAATATAATGTTAACTTATTTTGTTAAATTCTGATGTCTTCTAAATTATATTTATTTCAGGTCATCACAGAAAAAAATATGATATTAATAACTGGATGCGCCGTACTCAAATGATAGGTTCAAAATAATTTTTACTTTTTAAATCGGTTGTGTGTTAAAAAAATATTTAGGTTCATGAGTAAAACTTAAAATTCCATTAAGACGGATCCTCCTTAACATTTAAATCCTTGAGATATCACGTAGATCATTTCGACCACGTGTCAAATCGTATCATTCGTAGACAGATCAATATACCTATGCTATTGGAGGGAACGGATTGTTAGTAATGCGGCTTACCAGTCCCTTTGCTAACAATATATCCTATCAGGTCGACCTCCCCGTGGTCTTTCTGGAAACCATCGTGCTGAATTCCAGGTGTATTATATCGCGATGGGTTAACTGACTTCCCCTTTCATTTTCACTTATCATCCCTCACTGGTGTCCCGCCAGTGTATACCGATAGCGCAGGCGGGGTTATCATTCCATTATCATCCAGTAACAAAAACCTATCCCATTTCCTTAAAAATCGACGCAACAAAATATTATATTATTTATATTATGAAGCAAAATTTAAAGGATTGCTATGTATAAAGTCTGTCTGAAATTTCTTTAAGTATGAAATAAATACAAATTGTTCAAAACTGACAGCATTCAATTCATTAAAACTATATGAACTTATATTTTTTTAGAAGAACACAGTGATCACGATATTTTTTGTTCTTTATATGTACATTTAGCATATTATACATACCCACAAAATAAAAATATTTTAAGCTCCATCTAGTGGCAATACAATACCTCGCGCATATCACACACAAAATATGTTCACATTACACTTACATAAAAAACTGGATACTTAATCTGAAATAGGCTTTTATGTAGCTATTAAATAAGCTACAAAGTTGCATGGTGATAGACACTTCAAACTAATTGAAACATTATTACTCCGCACACTGGGACTCGAAGTCCGTATATACATAAATTTTATTGTACAATATGGTAATTGGGTTCGGAGTTCGAACCCGTTCGTTGGCCCACTATCATAACTTTAGCATTTCATCTTTTTTCGTATATACTTGTACTTATTGATTCCTTTGACACGAACATTGTAAATACTCAAAATGGCAACTTAAAATGGCAAACTAGCTGACGGTCCACCTGGTGGAAAGTGGTAAACATTGGCTGTAGACATAAGCAATGCCATGGGCGTAACAGAGTACACTGTTTCGCCCATGATACCCTTCATGCGTTGCCATTCCTGACGACTCAGAATTGAAGTCTTTTACCAATTGATAGCGATTCATGTTAGCAGAGCAAAATTTAAAGTATTACATTTTTACTATGTAGTTGCACCCTACGATTTACGAACAAATATTAAATTCTACTTGTTCTTAAATAAATATATTAAACAAACATGCCAACACACTTAAAAAAATAACTAGTTATAAAAACTCTTTGGACAAAATTCAGATATGATACAAGAATTGTCAATAGAACATTCTGTTTAATTGTAAATACGGCATCACTATTTGATATTGCATTTAAAATTATTATAATATTAATTTATGAAAATTGCAAAATGGATTCCGAATCCTTAACACGCTAATTACAAATTAAACAACTTATTACATATATATAGGTACACAGCACACATTGATCTTGTTGTTTGTCCTTACATTTTCTTCTACCTATTAAATCTATTCTTGAAGAATATAGAAACATCAAAAACCCTATAACTAAAGTTAACCGTAAATAAAGATGCATTGATCATTTGAGAACCACGCTTAGATGGTATGTTAATTATAATAAATACAATAATTAGATAAAACATACAAAATAAATGCTCATAGAGTTGTCTGCATTATAAAGGAACAATAGTTTATAAGAATCGGAAATCTACGCGATCATTTAAATAAACTATAATAGTTTACATGTGTTATTAATGAGAAATTCCGAATTTTCGGACTCAATTTCGTACCGAACACATTCATACCGAAAACGGCTCAGTTAATGGAGCTTAATATATTGTTAATCATAAATCCTTCCATGAAGGTCCAAAGGAATGATATTACGACATTTTTAATATTTATAAACGGTATGTAATATTTAATTTTAACATCAAATTTGTGTTTCATTCGGCACCGAAATTTTCATAGTAGATCCTCAGGTTACATCTGCTATAAATACATAAATAATTGATAGCATAAACTAAAAGTCTAAAAGATAATCATTACCTAATCGTAGGCCATTATTTATACTATTACTCTGTTTCAGATATATGTCTTCGTGAAATTGTAAAAGGGATCATTAATATCAAATATATATATATATATATATATATATATATATATATATATATATATATATATATATATATATATATATATATATATATATATATATATATATATATATAGGACATAACATTAAATGCTATGTTACAGTACTCGTCATAATATACAAATATAAATATATATATACAATATTCTTAATCATAATTCAATGAAGCAAATACACCGACAGAGAACAAACACATATTTACAAAATTAATTATAAAATTTTCTAATAAAACCATAACTCACTGTAGTCATTTCAAACTTTGGTAAATTTATGACATTATCTTAGATGAATAACATCTAGATAACGTATCCTTCTAAAAACGCGACGACGAAACGGCCGATTTAAAAAAAATGGCGCTCATTTTTAACGCATGGTACTCATTTTTAAATTGGACCTACGATTATATTATAACTGGCGAATTTTTTTTTTCATACAAATCATTTAGTCAACATTTTATTTATTTATATTTATCAATACTAAACTTTCAGTTCCATAACTTGGAACGATGGAACGTAATCCTAGTCTAGTCTCTTACCCTGTCCTTTAATGTCCTATTTGCAGCACGAAAAACGACTTTAGCGAAGTAACAGACTATGCTGTAAAGGTTTATTTATTTATTATTCTGGTCTTAAATATATAAAAGAAAATGAAGGCGTTCGTGCAGTATAAAATACGACTCGTCAGTCGACTGTTAGTTGACTGTTTTTAAGGCCATAATCCATCTATATGCATATGGTCTAGATAATGTTGGTGAGATACAGGATCGTATCCACACATATGCGTGATACCAGTATAAATTTTCTTGCAGTATTTACAGTAAAAAGTGCAACGCGTGGGTAAAGAAAGACTGCAATAATCTACTACACTATAACAACACAAATACGTAACCGGGGCTTTAACAATGAGCCTCAAGCACTTTGTAACCTGATGCCACTGAGTGCACTGCAGTTTCCTGCATATTAGGTAAAAGTGCACTTTTTTAAAATGGAACATGGACGTGGCGGTGATAGATCAACCTGTAGATGACTACACATGAGCAGGACCTGGCAGGACCCGCTGGGGATGCCCGTGTCACAGGTACGCTACGAACAGCAGCATCGACAGAAGAAGGAGAGACGCTCCGCTCACGCCGAGGCGTGTCGATTTTGATAGAATGCTCTTCCCTGGAAAGGAATACATATTTTGATAAATAAGAGACAAATATAGTAGTCACGCCGTGTAGGTCCCGGCATAGAATAGGCCACCGCTGCCTTTACCGTGAGTGTCGTAAGAGGCGACTAAGAGAGGGCGAGAGATGGGCAGCAACGTCCCTCTTAAAACATCTTTAAAAGCCTAACTGCGGTTGCCAATATGCCTGCCAAGCATAGCAACTACTGCCAAACCCTCCAAGTGGCAGATTTATGTTCACCAGTGGACAGTTAAAAGCTGATATGATGATGATGATGGTGAAACTGCTTATTCATTTATTTATTTATATTACAGTGATTCCCTTTGAATAGAGAAGTGGCAGAGAAATTTTACAAGAGGGAGACTTTGTACAAAAGTCGTTTGCTTGGGTACCTCTGTCCTATTCGTATTTCAGCCGTGAAGCAGTTGTGTTTGCATAGCTGTTTCGGTTTGAAGGGTGGGATATGGCGTGTATTTACAAGGTACAGAGGAATAACACCTGAGTCCTCAGGAATGGCAACGCATGGGGGGTATCATGTGCGAAACAGTACACTCTGTTATGTCCATGGTACTGCTCATGTCTATAGGCGACGGTTACCACTTTCCATCAGGTGGGCCGTCAGCTTGATTGCCATTCTAAGTTGTATAAAAAAAAATACTGGGTAACGTGACTCTAACAATATTGAGATAATGATCAGGCAATGTGTAGGCAACTTCTTTATAGTATAAGACTTTATAATGCACGAGTGATATTTCTGATATTGCAAAATTTCATCAGTGATAGATATCAGTTTTTGATTAGTATCGAGCTGTGCTTGATTACCACATTTGATGTCAGCAGAAAAAAAATTTACTAACATCTCTCAGCGAGCTTCCTGGTGCAGCAACATTCTCGGATGCGCTTGTACTGGGCGCAGTCGTGCGCCAGGGGGCGACAGCGCCGCGGGCCGATGTAGCAGGTGTGCGGCAGCCAGGGGAACGGCTCTGGCATCACCTGCCGCTCGCAGCAGCAGTGGTCGGCGAGCACACGCGTCTCGCAGTACTCTAGTTCCCGGCGGCTGCACGTGCCACACCCCACCAGCGTCTCTGGAACTAAACGTGAAGAAATATGTAAATAATCACCCGGAATATGTAACACATAGCACCTTGAAAACTATTGTGTTGGCAATCGAAACACCGCATACCGATGGCAGAGCAAGAAACAACGACGACCCTGTTGTCGAATTCCTAAAATGGGCCCCGATAATGGCGAAATATTTTAACTACAGAAACAATGACTCGTAGTTTTTTTTGATGGATGAAAGTGGAATGCGCTACCCCGCCCTGCCTGCACTAACGGGATACGCTGGCGGAGCACCAGTGAAGGGTGATAGGTGAGAATGAAAACAGACCAGTTAGCTCATCATAATGAATTCATCAGGAATTAACCATGATAGTTTCCAGGGGGAACCGCGAGGAGGTCGACTTGGTTGGGTATATTGCTAGCAATAGGATTCTCAGCCTCCATTATTAACAATCCCTTTCCCCCCTGACTCGTAGTGTTCCTTCTACGTATTTATTACCGTTCGTTTGTTTTGGGGTTTAAGGGCATTCTTAGAGTGAATCGTGAGTCGAAAACTTGTGCTTAATTTAGTGATTGTGAAATATATAATTACAAAAGAGTTAAGGACTAAATTAATTAATTCAGTGTTCTTATCATGTGGATTTATTATTTAATTACCAAATCAGTTCTTTAAATACTCTTGTCTTTTGTATTCAATAATTGGGATTAATTCCTGTTGAATTCGATAGTTGATCCCATCTGTCATCATTTATACGGGTACTCCGTCAGCGTATATAGATAGCGTACGCTGGGTTTCCATTTCCATCAATCAGGCTTCATCATATATACAAAGGTTTGTATTGTTTACAATAGCATACAAAGCGAGTGTTATTCCATAGGCTATGATAACCATTTACAATCACATGGGAAGTACGTTTCTTTGACACCTCGGTGGTATAAAAATAATTGTGCCAGGATCTGATGTGCAACTATCGAAAAGCGATTTCATAAACTGCTACACTACAGTCGTTATAATGTAAATTATTAAAAATCCGACATAAAAAAGACTTCAAATGTATTAAAAATAAACTAATGAACTAATTTTGATAATTTTTTTATAGGATCTAAAGTCAATGTTGGTAGGAGAGGAGGGCAGCGACAAGAACGTCTTTAGACGTACACAATACAACAATATGTCAATCAAAAAGCAAAACAAAATAGATATCAAAAAGACATATTCAAAATATAAAAATATAAATCTAAAAAAGGTAAACTTATATAAAAGGAGATCTGTCGCCAACAGGACCAATCTGTAAGAATATCCTTTCAGATAAAAAAAGAATTTTCCAAATTGGTTCACTACTGATGGAGTCATGAGGCGACAAACATAAAAAAATTCAAACAAACTGAGAACCTCTTTCATTTTGAAATCAGTTGAAAACTGCTATATGTTGCTAAATCTACGCATTCGAAGTTGCAAACTAAAGCTAATTAAATATAAACATTCGAATGCTTTCCCAACGCAAACAAAGCACGCTTCCTGTTATGAATCTCATAAGGTGCACGCATGTGTAGTGCATCAGATGCGCTATTGATCAGCACAGCACAGCCCTACGTCATGTTGCACATTTACAAATGCATAAGTACTGCAAAATGTAATAGACACTGTTACTCAGGAAATAAAGGGCGCATGGGGTGAAACTATCAAGATTTTTTGTTTTATACAACTTAGAATGGCAAACAAGCTGACGGTTCACCTGATGGAAAGTGGAAACAGTCGCCTATAAACATGAGCAGTACCATGCACATAACAGAGTATACTGTTTCGCCCATGATACCCCTCCATGCGTTGCCATTCCTGACGACTCAGGTGTTATTCCTCTGTACCCAGTAAATTCAAGCCATATCCCACCATTCAAACCGAAATACAGCCATGCAAACACAACTGCTTCACGGTAGAAACACGAATGGGACAGATTAATTGCTAATCGACTTTTATATATATATATATATATATATATATATATATATATATATATATTGTTTTAAAAATAAAACCCAGTATACAGATAATAACTATTGACATATATATACTAATAAGCAGATTAATTAATTTCTAAGCAGATTAATTTTAATTTAAGCAGATAAATTAACTAATGACAAAATATTATGTATGTGCTTATAAAGTGGAATTATTTTCTAATATAACAAGTCCCTAATATATAAATATAAAATGAGTTCGTTTTATATAAGATAAAATTAAAATTTATAATAATTCTTACTAATAATAGAAATGTGAAAGTGTATTTATTTGTTTACCTCTTTGCGCGTTAACGATTTAACCAATTTCTATTAAATTTGGTGTATATGTTTGCATGGATATTTCGGTTTGAAAGGCAATAAAATTACAGTGTATATGGCAATAACATTATAGTCCTCAGGAATGGCAATGCATGAGAGGTATCATAGGCTACAATATAATCTGTTATGCCCATGGAGTATCATGGACATAACAGATTATAAGTGGTTACCACTTTCCAACAAGTAGGCCGTCAGCTTAGTTGCCATTCTAAGTTTATGCGTGAATTTACAAGGTACAGAGGAATAACATCTGAGTCCTCAGGAATGGCAACGCATGGGGGGTATCATGGGCGAAACAGTATACTCTGTTATGTCCATGGTACTGCTCATGTCTATAGGCGACGGTTGCCACTTTCCATCAGGTGGGCTGTCAGCTTGTTTGCCATTCTAATTTGTATAAAAAAAGTTGCATAGAATAAACTATAGGATAAAAATAAAAATAACAATAATGTACTGTATGGTATAGTAAAGATTATTTTTTATGCCGGTCAATAAATGTACATCATACAATGTTTGCCATTCTAAGTTGTATAAAAAAAAAGAAAAAAAAAAACATCAGACACGCAGACCAAGTCGCGGTTAAAAACCTAATATTTTAAATATGAAAATGAGTTTGTCTTTTGTTTGTTACCTCCAGCTAGAAAAGGACATGGCCACTTTATATGCCGGTCGATCAATACATACCAGCCACGTCGACAAAATCGTAAATAAAGCCTATATTTCCGGGGGGGAAAGGGATTGTTAGTAATGAGGTCAGATAGCCCCATTACTAGCAATATACCCTGTCAGGTCGACCTCCACGTGGTTCCTCCTGGAAACCATCTTAGTTTATTCTAGTTGAAATATTCAGGATGGGCTAACTGACCTGCTTTCATCCTCATCTATCATCTCCCACTGGTGCCCCGCCAGTGTATACCGATAGCGCAAGAGGGATTACAATATTATCACCATTAAGAAAAGCCTATATTTCTTCAAATATGGAAACTACACAGAGATATTATATCAGAAGTACCCAACTACAATACTGTCTAATTGGGCGTGACACAACGAAATTGACCAGTGACCACGACAAATCGAAGGTTGCCGATTTCTAGCCAAAAAAAAAACTCAGCATACTCAATCGAGCGTGAACTAAAAAATATTCATAAGTACTCATTTACTCGTAAAAGAAGTGGATTTAGGGTCGGCAACGCGCGCGTAAATCCTCTGGTATTGCAGGCGTTCATAGGCTACGGTAACCGCTTACCATCAGGTGGGCCGTATGCTTGTTTGCCACCTCAGTGGTATAAATTTACTAGTAATAATAGTACTGGCCAACACTCAAGATTCAAAATTAGGTAAATTTATTTCGTCACTTAATATATGTATAATATTTATTCGAGTATTCTGACACTTCCCTATGGTTGACTGGGAGAGAATGCTTCTAGCATTAAGTCCACCATGTACACATATATGTACTAATGAATAAATAAATAAAAATAGTCTAATATATATAAAGATAGTAGATAAGGAATAAGTGGAAGCAGGTGGCTCAGGACTGTTCCTTATGGGTTTAACAAGAATCACGATGATTTCCAGGTAGTTCCGTGTGGAGGTCGACCCGACAGAGTATATTGCTAGCAATGAGAATTAACGTTCCATTACTAACAATCCCTCTTCCCACGCAGATGGACCATCACCGTGTATATATATATATATATATATATATATATATAGTATGTAAATTCACGCCATATCCCTTAAAACCCCACCCTTCAAACCAAAACACAGCCATGCAAACACAACTGCTTTACGGTTGAAACATGAATGGGACAGAGGTACCCAAGCAAACGACTTTTGTACAAAGTCTCCTTATTTTCCTTAATTTCATTGAAACTCCGTTATATAAACATACGCAATAATTATATCCTTCAGTAAAACATACGTTTAAGCGGCACACACCATTGTCGAGCCCGACAATGGTGTAACAATACCGTGACAGATGCAAATAACATGTGCCTCGGACATAAGGCCTTGAGGAGAACCGTTTGGGTGCGTAACTCGTAATTTGTGGAGAACCGCCCCGCCCGGCGACCTCTGCACGAATACATTGTCACTGTATACCGAGTGATAAGTATATAGGGACCAAGGATGCTGGATATCCGAAACTTATTGCCATTCTCACAGAACCGTCAAAAATTGATAGTAGGTTTATGGCATTCCCAATGAAATCGTATTTTATTTGACTCAAAATGGGACAGCGGTTTATTTTTCTCGATTAGTAGGAAACTCAATTTTGATATCAAATTATTAACAATTATTCAAATACCATCCTAGATTCTCAATGAAATAACAAAATTATTTATTAAGAAAATACATACGTACATATTTGTCACGTCTGTTTTTCATTAGGGTAAACAGAAACAATGGAACGCCAAATGCTTCGATTTAAACAGACCTCTTCATTCATCAATCTTTTCATACACGCTCGCCGGTTACGGGTACTTCTAATTTGGCCCTTTTTCAGCAAGTCGCCTATTTGGTCGACATACATCCGTCTAGGGCGGCCCCTACCGACATCTCCATTCATTCTTGCTCGATAAATCTCATTCGTAATTCTTCTTTCATACATCCTCTCCAAATGGCCGACCCAACGCAACATTCCCTTTTTGAAATATATTGCAGCAAAATTAAGTAAGTAATTTTCAAT